CTCTCACATGTGTGGCCAACTGACGTTTAACAAAGGTGCCAAGACAAAGAATAGTCTTTTCCACTGTGTCAGGACAACTGATTTTGTATGATACTGACATACGAAGAATGAGGCTGAATTCCTTTCTTACCAAGATGCACAAAGAGTAACAACAAACGGATCCCAGATCTAAATGTAGGAACTGAAATGAGAAAACTCTTAGAAGAACGTACAGGGGTAAATCTGTGGGACCTTGAGTTGGGCAAAGACAAGTGTTGGTCACGATGTGGAGAAGCTGGAACCCCACACATTGCTGGCAGGGATGTAAAATAGTGCAGCCCCTTTGAAAATGGCTTGGCAGGTCCTCAAAGTACTAAACTTAGAGTCACCATATGACCCACCTATTTCATTCCTAGATACGTACTCGAGATTTTTTTTGAAAAAAGCATCTGCACAAAACTCTGCACGTGAATGTTCACAGCATCATTATTCATAAGAGCCAAGAAGTGGAAACCACCCAAACGTCCATCGGCTGGTCAGTGGTTAAACACCATGTAGTAATCCATACAACGGAATAAAAATCACCCGCTGAAACCTGCTACAAGGTGGTGAACCCTGAAAACACTGTGCTAAGTAAAGGGAGCCGGTCACAAGAGCCACAGATTGCGTGGCTCCATTTAATTGCAATGTCCACGTTAGGAAAATCTAGAGACTGAAATTAGCCTAGCATTGGGGGATTTAGAGGGAGGCTGTTTTTCGGTCTCTGTGCGTGCTCTTCAGTTTCATCTTCAAAAAGCATAGAACAATGAGCTTGATTTCAGAAGCCAATCTTCCCAACTTCAGATGTGTCTGCAGGGGAACGGAGAGCTTTCATACTAATAATGGAACCATCAGTTCGCCTTTGTGGAATTTGCGACTGTGGTTCATTTGAAACCAAAATCCTATAAATACGACTCAGGCAGTCCATTAGGAAAGAGACAGCTATGACACGGGCTTTAACCAAACGAAACTAAAGAATATGATGATGTCAGTATTTTTTCACATTAGATTCTGAAAATAAGGCTTCTCGGAAGGATCAGACCAAGAGAATGAAGCCTGAAAGTTTTCCAAGATACTGACATTTCTAGTGGAGTTATTCTATGGACTGTGACTGTGTTTACCGCAGGCGCAGAATGATCTGGAAGCACACATCTAGGACGGGCAGGTTGCAGCTCACACTGTGATATTTAATAGCAGTTAGGATGTTCTGGTCCCCAGTTTAAGGAGACAAACAAAGAAGGAAATCAAAGAAACTCAATGGGAAGGAATGACATATTGACACCTTGGGAACGAAGTCTCATCTACCCCTACAAATCCTGACGGAGGGAGACGGGAGAACAGAGCTGGGCAGGTAAGTCCCTTCTCTCCCAGGGGCCGTCTCTGAGCTGCGGGCTGTGTACATCCTTCCAGAGGCCCTGGTGACCCCGACACGAAGCAGAAACCAGCACGACAACCC